AGAAATATTCGTTTTATTATAATTATTATTATGCAAACGTTCGCAAATACTTTTGTTATTCATTGATTAACACGTGAAATAGCTTTATTTCTCCAGGGGGTTTCTTGTACATTCCCATAAAGCGTGCGAATAAAACTCGTAGTATGTTTGAGACGTTGTCATCAGTGATTGGTTTGTTCTTTCATTCCATATTCATGACCACTTTTGTTAGTTTTGTCAAACCATACAGGTTGCGGACGGGTTAGGTTGTGTTTCTGTGAGCACAGTTTGCACAAGGAACGTGCATAAATCATGTGGACTGAAGCTTGAAAGATGTCTAAAGGTGAGCATTACGCTTAGGAAATGGCAACTTTAATCTTAGTACCCTTTGCGAAGGAGGCCTAAGTTTCTGAACACGTGCGCTTTCGGTTCGCTTCGCTTCACTGATGTTTCATGCATCTGTAATTTGTTCCTAACTACAAGAAAACTAAAGCTAGTCTTGAGATACAACTACTACCGAGTTGTATATTGATAGAACTCCCTCACAGCTCGTTAATTTTTCATAAATTTAAACAACGGTAACACATGTGAAATTCACGTAAACGCGGTCACGTTCATGAAATGTGGTAACTGCTCCTCTAAACGCGCAGAGGAACTTAGGAGAAACATTTCGCAAACACGTTTGAGGGGAAACTCGTGGCGCGTTTAAAGTCCTGTTACATTAGGAGATTATCGTACTCATTATACTACACCTAGTCATCTGTGTTTTATTTCATAGAAACTCACTGAGTATTTGTTTGCCAATTTCTTAATACAGATAGACAGAGGAACAAGGAATACAGGGAAAGGACAAACTGGAATCAATGAATCTGAAAGATGCTCTGCAAAGATAAGAACTTTGAAGATAGTATAACACTTTTGTTACAGAATTGGTGGCTGCCAAATACCTAAATTTGTTAAGACCACAGCTTTCATTATAGCCGCAAACGCTAATCACTCGTATTTCAAACTTTACTAGAACAAACTTGACACATTGTTGAATACGGTAACTGAAAATGACAAAATTACAAACACGCGAATGAGCATAAAATAACTTACATCGTATGAGTGAAAGTACTGGAAAACGACAAAGCGAAATAAACAAGGATACTTACAAGACGAATGTGACCAAACCAAAGACGAAAACATGAAACCCAGAGCTAGATATGTAACGACAATTTTCGCAAACTAGACAACTAACCAAATAAATTACGCGCAACCAATATATATACCATATGCAAATAAATATAACAAGTAAAAAACTGGTAACTGACAAAGGACACTAATGGAAGACGAGAAAATAAACACCTAACACGAAACTATGAAACACCAACACTAACAAAAAATGATAATGCAAATTCTTGCGCCTACATTCATATCGGCTAAAAGAAATGTAACGACGAACTGTGATAGGATAGCGGACTCAAGTAGTGATTCCACAAAAAGTAAAATTTGACGGTTGGCAGTCACCAGTACGGATAGATTTTTTAAGGTGGCACAGAAGAGCAAAAAATATTGCAAGAAGAGATTATCAAAATAATTCAAAGATTTTCAACTCTGTTCAAAGTACCGTTTTGCCTTAAAAGAGAGTTTAATTGTTCCAGCTTTCGAGAAGATTATATCCTGAAGACGTACGTTTCTAACCAGACAGTTCGTCTAATTGTTTTTTCAATACAATGGTCAGTGCCACCTTAAAAAATTCATACATTAATCCTTATTAGCCTTTTTTGCAATGGGCAAGAGAACAATGGCAACCAAAAAAGCACATTCGAAAAAAACTTTATTGGCGGAAAGAAATAGCTTGTTTCAGCTACCCACAGCTTGCTTTGAAATGATAACGCTGTAGTTAAGCAGCCTAAATTCGTTACCCTTCCTTAAAAATGCATACCGCTAACATTCAGTTCATCGAAGAAGACGAAGAAGATGACACTTTTCTTTAAAAAGAAAAAGGCATAGAAAAGGCTTACAAAAACCGAGGCATAGAGACAGATCTATCCAATCACATTTAATAATAACGATAAGACTCGCGAGACGAAAGTAACTTGCTTGCAACTAACCATGAAATTCGTCCTACACAAAATAACTTTAAGCGTGATGATTTTACAATGACGAAGAGATCGAGTGGTCTGACTGCCAAGCCTCTTTCATCGGAGAGGTCGGCAGGGACCTCGATATGAGACCGGCTGAACGCAACAATCACATTGCTGAACATAATCGACTTGCTGACTGTGACTATTATTAACATTTGTCCTACAATTTGGCCTTTTTTTGAGTGACTTACTTTGCAAACTTAGACGAGATAATTGTTGGCAAATGTCAACAAAATCAACCGCCTATAGACGAACTTATTCTCAAAATATACTATGCAAAAAAACAAAAAAAAACAGAACGACCCACGCTAACTAATCACAACTGACAAACGCCGCTGATTCTTCCACATATTGGCATCGCGCATTTATTGACCTGTAACTCGTTTGCACGGACCATGCTTTATACAGTAACTGTTCTGCGTAACTTCAGCGCTTAAATCTAATCATGGAAAAGAAATACGTTTGATCGCTTTGGAAAATCATTACGGAAAACACTTTGCCTACGTTCTCTTGTTATTTTACAAGTTTGATGCATTAAAACCTAATGTCTGGTTCAGAAGATTCAGAGAAATTGCGATATAGATAAGTACAAGAAACCACAAAATTTGTTTTGCATTAAATTCCTTTATCATGAACCTAGTCAAAACAATCATGGGTATTTTTTCAATAGATTTCTTTCAAAATCAGGAAGTATTTTTTTCACGCTCAAGGAAACCTTGACGTCCCTTCACAATTCAATTGCTATTTTTCACAGTTTTTTAAAAAAGAAATAGACAGGTTTCTTTCAAGCTCTCGAATGGGAAGGATGAAATGAGAACACGTTAAATTCAGTTCTCAAAAATATTTTAGGTTAAAGAAGTTTCGCCACAAATTCTGTTTGACTTTGTATTGACACCGAACTTGAAAGTTAGGAGAATCTGATTGCCTGTTTCGACTAATTTACATTGTTCATAGTGCTTACGAATTTTTTTTCTGATTGAATGAAATTCTTTAATGTTCGTCCAAAAAAAAAAGGGGGAATTTCCAGTGAATTTTTGCAAGAAAGTGCCTTATGTTCTTTGTACATTTGCTTCAATCAAAACTGTCGAAAGACATTGTTTGCGGATTTCCAAATCGAGTTTGTTCTGTAAAGGCAGTTGAGAAGTTACTTTTTAGTACGATAAATGCGTCAAATTTTAAAAATATCCTCTGAACCAGCCACTGGGTTTTTATGTATTTGCTATGTAGAAAGACCTTCTTCAGCCAACAATTGATGTAAAAAGGCACCATAGGAAATTTTGTCGACTAAAAATTCTGAACTGCTGAATTCATCGATGAAAAATAAAAAGCAAACTTCAAAACCTCAATCTTAGAACAATGACTCGCGACTATACTTGGAGCCAAGCAATTATCTGAGCCTTTGCGACCAAAGGAAGAGAAGACTTACTTGGCCATAAAAAGAATATTTTGAAGATTCTTTAATGCTTGTCAATCAACTCGACAAAAACGTTTTCATTGTAATTTTGGAAATACACGTGACCTAACCAATTGTTAGTACTCTAACAACCAAAATGAAAAGGTGAAGCAAATTAAGTCGACAAGAAACGAATAATTTGTAGCTAATTTGATTTAGTAACGAAATTTTGTTTCAAATATTGTTCAGTTTTGCGTCAGATGTGTCCTGTACAACAAGTAAACTATTTGATGGCTGAAAAAGGTCTTTAATTATCCTAACGACATGGCAAGCTTGAAGTATTTTGTAAGTGTTAAATAGATTGCCATGTTGCTTATCTTTAGAGTACAAATGTTTGTTCATCATCTTGTGCTAAAAAAAAAAAAAAAAATTCAGAAACCAAAATTTTCATTACCGAAAGAAAAGCCTTGCTCAGAAATAACTAGAATTTGCCAAATTTTTACTAGAAGTTAAAACGAAAGACTGCTTAACAATTTTTTCGAAAACGATTTTTGCACAAGGTGATGTTCACATATCTTTTGGCGGAAAATTTCACGGGAAGCCATTTTGAATGTTTGTCGGAAATGTTGTCAGGGGAAACTCTGTGCAAACTGATCCAAATTTTCCCGCCAAAAGTCTTAGTATATATTTGAACGAACTTTTCTTGACACCTTTTTGATTATTTCATGAAAAGTCACTTAACTAATTGAGAAATCATAGAAGAGAAGAATAACTTGTGTTATTATTTATTGAGTGAAATATTTCAAGAAAGAAATAAAGATCACAATCAAACAGTGGACAACATTCTTGAGTTTGTTGACTTACATTTATTAACAATGTACAAATACAAATATAAATTGTAGCAATAAAAGTAGAAGTACTTGTATTTTCCGGGAATAAAAAAAATAAAAAACGGCGCATGCGTATTTTGGGCGCCTGTATTTTTCTAAGTTTTTTGGCGGGAAAATTGAAAATTGAACAGACCTTACTAACGGAAACGTTTTCCATCAAATAAAATGTACAGGTGACTAAGAAAATTAGAATTAGAATTGGTTGTTCTAAACATGTTTGTTTATGGACATCGAAAATAAATTGCTCAAAAAAAAGGTTTAAAAACATTTTGACCGAAAATCAATCCCTAAAAAAATTTATCTTCTACCTCTTCTTTAAACTTTTCTTTCGACTTGATAGCTCTTTGTCAAGCCTCTTGTGTTTTTGTTTCGTGCTTATGCTTGACTTTGAGTTCAATTGTCGGTCATCTGTCTGTCATCAAATGTCTGCAAGAGCACGGAAAACACAAATTAACAAATGCATTTACCACAACAAGCTTTATATTTAATCAATTCATAAAAGATAAACCATTTTGTGCAAGCTTCAACTTCAGCAAACTAGTTATCACCTGCGAGATTTAACAATAGCTGGCAAATTCTCCCACATCTTGCCAACAATAAAATATAAAATTGCTATCCATTTCATGCAACATTGACTAGCCTTTCTACTAGACGATAAAAGGGAACCTTCACATGCAGATTGCTGTAAGCCCAGCTGAATTAAATGTTTTTTCTAGAAAGCTTTGGAAATTTCTTTGCATTTCACAAAAAGAAATGCACCATCCTTTCAAGAATTCCGACGCCTAATTCTCATAATAGTAGGTAGCAACTAGGTGTTGTTTGTTCGTATATTTGCTGTTTTCTGCGCTTTGAGGTTGAAAAAACGGAAGCACTCAGATAATTGTCATGTTCCTTGCCACTGTAGCCTCATGGGTTATAAAGTGATATTAGGATTCGTGTTCAGTCGACTCCTCGTGCAAAAACAACCAAGATGCAAATTATGTAGTGTCAGGAGCCTAGTGCAGAATTTATAGAGAGTTCCAGAATTTTAAAACATCTATGAAGCTATAGCCTTAAATATTTTTTATCAAAAATTGCATGGAAACCTGTTTGAACGTTAAAAGTTGTTACTGGGAACAGGCGCCCGCAAAAAACAAGAAAAGCATTATATCTTTAAAATAGGCTGCTTTGTTTTGCCTCTTAACCTAAAGTAAATTAACACGATAATTTGAAAATGATTTTTATGTCAATCCGTGTGAATTTGGACATGTGCGACTCAAAAAAATATATTGGCATGAATTTCTACGAATCAAAGATGACACAAAAAATGACAAGCTTTGTTATATTGAGAGCCCAACCCACGAGATAAAAAATCGTAACAAAAACTCCTAATTAAAAAAATATTGACATGGTGGAAACTGGCGTATAATGTAACAAAAATAGCCGGGAAAATATTTTGCTTTTCTGACCGTAATTCTCCGTATTCTCAAGTTAGACACTTTCCTAACGTTGGGTGTCATGCAGTCTAAATTGGAAAACTAATATATTACTTTTGCTTTGACGAAGAACATTTTAAATATTAGAAAGGTTTGCAGATCTTAACGGCAAAGGCAAACTGCCATGGTGATGAAAGAGCTAATAAACCAGGTCTCCGTCACATTCTTGTTTTTTCTTTTATTACAGATGTTTTTGCCTTTTTCAGTTTAAGTGGCAGATCTTAAAGTTACATCGTTCCCAAGACTTCACGGCTCAGATAGCGATCTGCATGTTCTGTTACCCACCCTGTTCTGTTCTGTTGTAGGTGCAAGTAACTCACCTCGCCAAAAAAAGTTATCTTTTATCCTCTCCCTTGTGGTTCTTTTCATCTTTATCTTCTATTATTGTATGATTTTTTTCCTTTGTTCATTCTTGCCTGTGGCCAAAGCCTGTCTATTGAAAGAGGAAGGACAATTGAATATGTTGGAAATACAAAGACTTACATTAATCCAATTAAAACTCTTTACAGGTAAATGTATAATTTCCAACTGGAATTAAGAGGGATCATGGTTGGTCAAAAAAGCTTTTCTTTTTTTTCCTAAACACCAATTCTTTGATCGACCGATATCCCCAGAAGTCTCAGTCAATTTCCTTGGGACGGTTCTCGAAAAATGCTTAATTATTCTTGAACATGTTTTGACCTTATAAGTTGCCACAACAATATCAAAGGCTCTTGGCACTCAAATTTTAGCTTCTTTGTGCTTGTAATGCATAAATAAATTTAAGACTCCAGGTTTCAATCAGTCAGGCAGTCAGTTACAGTTAGTCAAGCAGGCAGGCAGTCAGTCAGTTAGTCAGTTAGTCAGTTAGTCAGTCAGTCAGTCAGTCAGTCAGTCAGTCAGTCTCAGTCAGTCAGTCAGTCAGTCAGTCAGTCTCAATCAGTCAGTCAGTCAGTCAGACAGTCAAGCAGGCAGGCAGGCAGGTAGGCAGTCAGTCAGTCAATTAGGCAGTCAGAAAGTCGGTCGGTCAGTCAGTCAGTCAGGTGGTCAGTTAGTCAGTTAGTCAGTCAGACAGGCAGGCAGGCAGGCAGGCAGGCAGTCAATCAGTCAGTTGGTCAGGCAATCAGGCAGTCAGACAGTCAGTCAGGGAATAGGTCAGTCAGTCAGTCAGTTAGTCAGTGAATCAGTCAGTCAGCTGGGTAGTCAGTCGGTCTGTCAGTGAATCAGTGAATCAGTCAGTAAGCTGGGCAGTCAGTCGGTCCGCCAGTGAATCAGTGAATCAGTCGGTCAGTCAGTTAGCAAATCAGTTCATTAGTCAATCAATCAGTCAGTCGGTCAGTCAATCATTATCATCAACTCTGTCATTACCGTTAACAATCATACAAAATCACAAAAGACGGCATTTACCAACTTTGACGACTAACATGCCAAACCTCAGTTTTAAGAGACAAGGAAGTACAATGGCTTTAAGTTTAATTATGTAGAGGAGTGACTAAGGCCTCATTCTCGAAGAAATAATTTCAGAAGTTCGTGTAAATTGTACCTTAGCAAGCAGCCTTGTGCATATAATTAACGCCGTTGAATTCGATAAATTCTGGATTCTAAGTTTGAAATCATCTTTTGCGCACCAGAAAACAAATAAGCAGAGACAATTGATATCTAATGATTACCTAAAATAGCATTTCAGCAAATGTTTGGGTGATTACAAGTTACCTCTCAACACGAAGTTCAACTTCCAACAAGATCACTTTTCGGTGTTCGACGGACTTGCCCTTCTATTTGACTGTTTTCACATTTCTCTTAGGCTTTGAGTTTGTCCAAGGCGAAGAACACGTACGGCTTAGGTACCAAGGACGAGTTTGGACCCAAGCGTGTTGTCGGCGGTTGATTTCTTCCTGTCCAAAAACAAAGTTTGGATTTACCATTAATCGCCATTTTCTTCCTCGTGCGAAGGTACACGTGAAGTGAAATAATTGAATATTCATGTCTAAAGGTGCGTGCAGGCGAGTTATGAATAATAAAACACTTTGCCTTATCAAAGTCCAGTGCTTTTCTTGGTCAAAATGGGGAAAATAGAGAATAATCCGCTGATTTATGATGTTAACTCGACCAAGCAAAGTACATCAAACACGAAGCTTACTACAAACGTAAATATTTTTTAGATCTCCATCTGTCCGCGTACGTCATGGCCAAACAGGATTATCAATGACTGAAGAGAGAATTCGCGTAAGGGAAGGAGGCTCGAGGAATGGGGCCGAAATAATGCGGAGGGACCTCCTTATATAACACGGGCCTAACAAATAGTCTGATAACAGAAACGATGGATGAAACGTCTCATTCTACAGACCATTTTTCCTTCAGTTCTCCTCCTCTAACTCCCTCCCCCCATCACGTCAGCCCAATAGTTTCCGCCTGCAATGTATTTTTTAAATCAATAAGATTAGTGGAGAGGAGGGGGCGTGGAACCCAACGAATTGAGGAATCTTACCAAATATCGAAAGAACTCTATTTTTCCATTTATCTTGTTTGCATTAAATGTTAATGCTCTATCTGAGGGTGGTAGGTTTCCAGTAAGTCTACTTTTGTATCATATAGAACTGGAAATTGACTCATGGAGTAGGACGACTTCATATGTGAGTAGCAGCTTCACGAAAAGGAAATTTTCGTCTGGCGAAGAAATGAGACCAGGAAACAACCGCAAGGATTTTAGAAAAAGACATGTTCGTGGCTCTGTGGATACACCTGCTCAAACAAACTTTCATTGTACTCAGCCGTTTGTGTCGAGGAAAATCATACTCTCTACAAGAGGAAATTATTTATTCAAAATGTTTACAACTGAAACAAACGTTTTTTTTTTATATCAAAATTGTTTACAACAGCTTTAACTTCCAACACACTGTGCCATTCCATTTCTTTAAGATTACAGTCAGTTTAGAATTTGTAATTTCCATGCTACTGTAAACAACTTTCTTCTTTCATGTCAGTGACATCAAATTGACGTCATTTTCCTTTAACATTAACGTCAAAATAACGTCACATAAGCCTTTCCATTTACTATTCCTCTGTTTCTGCCATGATCGAATTTGAAACGTCCTGCAGTTCACCAACCAGAGCAAACCTGCTAAATTTCAGCCAATTAGGAGCACGCCAATATCACGCGAGTGACCATGCTACGATTGGTTAATTGTTGTATCTTCTCATTTGAGATGTGGACAAAGTTTCTTTAACCAATCACAGATCAGACAATTCCGCATGTCTTTTGAAACTCAGTAAAAGTATTGCTATAATAGGTTAGATTTCACCTAAAACATTAAGAGTGTATAGGAAATCTTTTGAAATTCTGTCGACAAAAATACTTGCTTAATAAGTTTATCTTGCTCAATAATTTCAACCGACATTTTTCACCTTAATTTACAATTAAAATAACTTAATATATTTGGTGTTTGATAAATAATCCTACTCGATATTAGAGCTCCTCCGTATTTAGAACTGAGATTCTTTTTACTTACGCCTAAGACTACTGATCGAATACATACGTCATATAAAAATGCGAATATCTGTTCAGGACATAGTATAGTTGATACCTTTTTTGTTGTTCGTATATAGGATATATAATAACCGCTTAGAATAGTACAATCTTTTGATCCATTTCCTGAAAGTTGACTGAATCATAATTTAAAGTAGAAATTTAGCATATGCGTCAAAAAGGTTGGTTGACAAACCTGAACAATCTATTTCAAAAGACCTTTCATGAAAAAGTAGTGAGAATTATCAACAAAATTTCATCATTACGAACAGTTTGTCTTTATCAGCTTTGTCCCTCTCACAGAAGCGCAATGAAAAGTTAGCTTACAGAAATAGAACTAACTTCCGCTGAGCGCCTTTTGACTAGTTCGAAGGACAAAGCTAAGCAAGATGAACTGGTCATGATCTAGCAGCTAAGAATTCCGTCTCATGACTTCCTTTACTGACGGAGACGAACAAAAAGGTCTTAATAAACATTCATTTTCACGGAAATCAAGTGTAAAAATCGAATAAAGATATCGAGTAGAATTTCAACATTACGAAAATAAAACAGATAAAACTATTTTGAAAGAACTAAAACTTTAACAATAAAAACATCTGTAAACTAAATTTTTTCTTTGATTAAAATATCTATGAACTAACCTGTGCAAACATTTGCAACGTTTTCTCCTTAAACCAAGTCAAATAATAGAGAATGTTTCTCGTCCATTGTTTAAACCTGCAACTCCTTGGAGCTAGGATAACTATTCTAATACGGCGAACACACTAGTGCGCCCAGTTCTTCGTTCCTTCATATAATTGTTACGCGTTTACTTTAACTGTACATGCTCTTGTGAGTACATCATCAGATCGAGGTCAACTTTTGAAGTGCATGGTGGGATATCAAATAAGTCTGTCCTCATGCCCTAACGCGGGCGCAACTTCGACGTTTTTATTCGGATCCAGTCTACGCATAAGCTGTGGATCTTCCGGGAGCTGGAGAGAGCAAAACTTTAAGAACCACAGAAAGATACCGACTTGACTCATGACATCGAGTGTTCCTTTAGCGAGATCTGTTGGATCCGTGTCGGCCGAGGAAGGCCGAAGAACGTTCGGGCCAAAAACGGTTGCCAGGTTATTTTGTCCCATTTTGTTCTGTTCCTGATGCTCACTCAATCTATAAGCAACATATTTTAGCCATAAAGTACTCACTAGAGTAACAAAACAAACGCGATCCGCATGTGAATGACTACACTGTTAAGAGAGCTATGCCAAAACATTGCTAGTTTTTTTTTTTTCTTTTAACCCCACAAAATGACCTTGAAAAAGACCACTACATATCAGTTGGGTACGACAGTAATACAGGAAAGAGCACGGATAGTTGAATGAAGAAGACTGAAAAGCATCGCAAACAACAAACAGAGGGTGGCTCTGAGCCAATCAATACTTCCGAATGGCCTTTTAACGGTTTCAACACAAAGCTCGACTTAGAATACACTGTGTGACTAATCATCTCTCTCAATCTTATTATGCACAGCTACAAATACGGCTTGCATTTCTCCAATGTCTCTTCCTATCGTTATATTTTCCTATGAGTGTGTAAACCCCACACATTACCTTCTTAGATGATCTAGTAAATAGATAATAGTGAGCCGGTTTGGTTTGGGTAAAGATTCAAACAACTCCATCATTTTTTTCTTTTTTTCCTCGGGATCTTTAATTCCTAAAATCAAAAACAAGTATCTCGATGTCAGAAAAAAAAATCGAGAAAAATAATTAACTGTGTACAACAAGAAAAATATACAGATTGTGTGTACATATATATCTACAAAACACCACATCCACTTGCTTCAGTGTGTAGGTATCAACCAGTAAAGCAATCAATAATGGGCCCTGGAGTGGTTCGTACCGTCACACCAACCACAGAGGAGGGGGACATGGGAAAGAGTTTCCCTGGATGCAAACGATAGAGCAGAATTCTTTCTTTCAGCACCTGACTTTGTGTCCTTTGCATGAAGGTATACGACAGGAGAGGTGCCACTGCTGACCAGAGTGACTGTTTTGATAAGATCGCTTTTCTTCGTTGTATGTTGAGCCGTAATAATATAACACGTGTAGCAGGGCTGACGAGTAACCAGCAATAATCTTACCCCATAACCCATTGAACCCACATTTGAAATTCCGAGGAAGTGGTATTTTTCTCCATGCAGTACGTTATAGGGGCAAACTTATTGTACTAATAAGGAATTGAAAAGTGGTTTACCGTTTGCTTCAACAAACTTGATATAAAGGTCGTCGGTAAAGAGTGGCTCTGGAAGGTCCCTTAGGTACATCTTCAGAAGTCCAGCCACAGCATGGATGTCCGCCTCAGCAACTTGCACTAAAGCACTTTGACTGTCTAAAAGAGATTAATCAAAAGAGAAATCAGTCAGCTATGGACAAACTAGAAACGGCGGCGAAAGTAGCTTTCAGGAGGATTCATTGTGGATTTGACACTAGCATTGATGGCAGACAGCAAAACGATCAAAATCCTGATTTCAAGAAACTTTGCTTCTCTGTTCTAAGTCATTTTTGGTATCATGCAAAAGTTACTCCATCTTAAAGGAGGCTACAATATATTAGTTCGGTAACTAAGAAACGAAATAGAGCAAATAATGGAGCAAGACGAAACAAGGATGGATGAGGATGGAAACGATTAGAACGGGTCGAAAATAAGGAATGAGCCACTTTAGCATCTCTCCAAAGCTTGGGGTCAAATCTATGTATAAAGCTCAGCTTACGGCCTCATCGATAGCCATACCGTTTACCTCGTCCTGTATGCAATGCACTTACTGTTGTCAAACGCGTCTTTTAGCCTTCGGACATCTGAAGTTGCTCCTGATAAGCGATAAATTCCTACTTCTTCTATTCCTGAAACAAGACGAGATGCAACGGTAACTTGAACAATGGATTTTAAAGATATTAGCAGTCAATCCAGTTCTTCGCTGTATTGCACACTCATTGAAGGTTTGCTAACGTGAAACGAAACAAAACAAAAGATAGAGCTGACGCATTTGTTGGGCAAACTTTAGGAATCGCAATCGCAAAACCATTCTGGAATAAAAATTGATGCGATTTCACTCTACCCACCTCTTTTCTCAATTTCCTGTACACAACCAATCACAACTAAGGGAATATCACTTTCTTCTCGTCTGTAAGAGAAACATATACCAAAGGTAAATCATAAAACCATTTAACAAGCGACAGTTGAACATTGTCAATCCACAACAAACAAACGAAGACATTTAACTCACTTTGAAACTGTAGCAATATCAACTCCAAAAACACCTTTCTCGCTGTAAGATTTCTTCCGTTGAATCCCATGAGGTGTCTTGGAATACTGTAGTGATAGCGTTACCGCACCCTGCAAGTCAAACACAATACGTTACTATGGCTGTGCTTTAAATTGGTTATTTTATTTCAGCTAAAATCCAGAGTATTGAATGTTTCTTTCAGCCAAAGACAGCAATGATCACAGGGCATTCTTGATAAAAATCTATATACGGTGCGTGACAACTGAACTTACGTGACCAGCAATTGATCAGTAAAGCTGATACGTAGTGATGGGGTGACATCACCTACTTCATTACTGTATACAGAGATAAATAAATTATTTATTCCTTACCTGCTTGTCTAAGGTTATTGTGATGGTCTGTTTCTTCAGATCCCTCAAATTTTCCTTTACAAGCTTAAGCAATAAAAAAGATAAGAATTGTTAGCAAGCCACACGTTTTAGTTCAAGTTCAGAAGTTATTTAAACGAACACGCACAACCCCACAGGCGTGATTGTTTATTCCCTGTTTTGGCCCATGGCGCTCGCCTTGCACTAATTTCCGCGCGCGAGAAGCATATACAACACCTCACCTCTATTTTTCCTTGCGCACAGTGTTCATCAAAATTAAGTCTGCTTTTGCTATAAACATGCAGCTTGAGTTCTCTTGTTCCTTCTACCTCGACATCGAAGTCCTATAGAACAAATAAAGGTGTTAGCACTGACCGAGGAACGCGTTTTACAACCCTAATGATAAAGGATGGAGTCAAACCATTCTGGCGGCGATTTTAAATTTTTGCCCGGCGAGTCCCATAAGATGACTCTTGGAAGGCTTTAAAACTGAAAGTCTACACAAGACATTGTTTCAGCAGCACAGAGTAAACCTGTTGTTTCTTTCATCGTTTGAGAAAGAATAGAGAGCACCACTAACCCAACCCCTTCCCGCTAAGTATGCTAGTCGATCGCATTTGTCCGAGACAGTCACATCATATTCTCGTAAGGCAAGTAAAGGGGGATGCAAGGCGGCCAGTCGGAGTAATTGGAAGTCAAGTTTTCCTCCTCTTACCTGGTCCCACACAGGGTCAGTTGAAGCTTTACACGTTTTTGTCCTGGCTTTACGAACAAACTGTCCATAATGATCAACTTCTATCACGCAACTGAGATCTGAATAATAACACAAGGAGAATTTAGGAAAAACTGAAGGGAAACATGGATGTGAAACCACATTCAGCAGAAAAAAAAATCATATTTGTTCGAATAGTGAAATGCTTTTGTGGGGGATGGGTACCGACACCATCCTATTGAACACACTGCAATTTCCAACTGAACGTCATAAACTGTCTAGGATTGCAAAAGTATAGAAAACACAGGCCTTCTACTTAACTAACAAGGTGTAAACATAATATGACAGGCCGCTAACTTGGTGGGGTATTCCTGCGCTGTAAGCAGTTTGATTTCCCCAACTCGTTGACTCTCGTTAACGAATTTTATATATCAACATATTGAGAATACATATTTCTCTGGTAAATTCCCTTGTTCTCAATTGCCTTTCAATTGTATTGATTTTTATTAATCTGCTTTTGGTTTGACTCTTAGGAAATGCGGTCATGTTCTGGCAAATGGCAGCAACGCATTACAAAAAAGGCGAAGATTCATATCCGAGCTTTACATGAAGTCAGCTATAGGGTTGTCTATCTTCTCCCCTTATTACTTAGTTAATAGACTTTGTAGAGACAGTCTGAGAGCCATTGACGTATGTTCAATCCACCACTCTGTTCTCACAAACTGTTAGGATTTGCAATATGTAGGTCTAAATTGGTCAGAACGTTTTTCTAGACTCCCAAAAATAAATTGCTTTTAATCAAAGAGTCAATTTCCTGTTAATTACTTTTTCCTGAGCCTTCATAAATCTCGTTCTACCTGCATAACCCAATCACGGCGAAGTTGTTGTGAAGTGCTGTTGCACTAGCCAATCACAAGCCTACACGAGTTCGCTTACGTGCTCCTTCTATGCTTAGGGTCAGTTACGTGCGTCTATTAAGTTTTGGTGGGCGTTTAATTCATATTTAATCTATTTTAATGTAAGCTCTTCGGAAGTCTGGATTATAATACCACAATTTCTGATGATCTCTGTTTTCATTTACCGTTTTTGTGAAATCCGCGTCCAGAGTGTATATGAACGTATAACAGTCCATTGAGGAGACTTTTGTCTGCAACATAAAGAGCAAAATATGCAGTGAGCGAGAAATATCCCTCCAGGCTTATATCAGCAAAATATTTTCAGCGTTACCTTTACGTTCCAAGATCACCCTTCTCGAAACAGAAGGAAAAAAATGATTGCGCTTATTTACCTTAGCTTTATAAACAATTATCTGTGAATTTTAAGTTCAACACGGTGTGAAGTAATTAGAGTAATTACGCGAGGTGTTTCAAGAAATTTCCAAACCTAACCCAGACAGAGTAATAAAAATTGTTTAGAGTTGATGTTAGCGAAAGCTTATTGGAGGGCTTTGGCCTGTGAGAGGAGTATTCCCTTTTCTTCTTCATTTCTTTACTTTTCAGCGAAAAGCACATTTTATTTCAATGAAAGAGAAACATTTAACTTTAATTACGCTATCATTATGTAATCCTAAAAGGAAATGAAGGATGGACTTAGAAAATCGCGTCCAGTACCTTCCTTCATGGATACTTTTCCTAATGACCTCTGAGTTCTCAGCTGAAAGAGAGACGAAATATCAGTTAGCACGATATTTTCAAAAGGGAAATCTTTACACAATTGATCTGTGGACAAGACAGGATAATACTGGGTGTTAATTGCCAGTTTGAGTCCTTTCCAACAGTAAACCCAGGAGTTTTCCTTGCGGCTTCCTGTTTCGTGCTGTCTTTTTTATTATTTATAAATGTCTGTTCCAATTTTAGTTTGTCAGGGTCACTTAAAATAACGTGAGAGTGCTCAAAGGTAAAAAAAATCTGGCGATTAAATATCCGTCAATTAGACTGGCGGATACGGAAAGATCGGGTTAGGTGTTAATTTTATTACGAAAAAGGTCTGCCTGGTTTGGACTTGACATGACTAAATGATCCTTTGAAAGTGTGCCAAAATCTCGCAAAAGTGATTTATCACAGATCTTGTAAATCTTATTACAACAATTTGTCACACAGACATTCCGGGCTGGGTGGACTAAGCGATATTTACTTAATCAAAGTTCGGTTTGTGACAAAAAGCTTCCTTTACGCAGCATGAGGCTGAACGAAAACACCTCGTCACAATGATGTATTTGTGATATTTTTTGAAAAAGGAAACAGCGTTGCAGTTCGTATCGCAATGACAAAAGATGTTTAATGTATAGTGTTTGTTTAAACGCGATGAAAATGTCAAAAATTTACGAGATTGAGTGGATTACAAACTGATAACATACGGCTCAAGCGAGATTTGAAAAACTAATTCTTTCCGATTGATTTCCACACAGGAAAATCTGAACTGGGCATGGATATACGAAAGAAACAACCTGAGGCGCTCTCAAAAATACAAGGAAGAACATATGAAATAACGAGAAAATTTCAAGAGCAATTCTCATCGTAGTCTACGATTGCAACATCTCTTGTACAAACAATGCCAAGTGTTATAAGCTTCCATACTTTAGTGAATTTTTCCAGTTCTTTCTAACGTAAATTTAGCGAGTTCAGTATTTACAAGCTTATAATTACAATCTTCCTAAAGTCAGTACCATGATGTTACTTACCAAGGAGTGCGAGTCTTTTAAAAAACTAGAGTCTGAGCCTCTTCGAAGGAGTCGTATGTTTGGCGACCAAGAGCCGCGACGAAGAAGAGGCGATTTCGGCTTTTCACCAAATTCGGCATGAGTTTCCGATCCTCTCCGAGCAAGCCTCGGAGAGAGAGTGAACTTAACTTTTGTCGCCATGATCATGAAGGGCAGACGAACGAAACAGGGAGCGACGCGAGCTTAAGATTGGTTCAGTAGTTCAGCGTAACTATTACCGAGTCGAGGAAGGCTTGAATAAATAGATGGGCTGAAGTGTAATTAATCTGTCACATTAATCCCTGCTGTATACCGCTCACATACGTTACCCGCGGTACACAAAACCACTCGACCAATCAGAGAGGATGTTTACCAAAACACCAATAATAATAGCAGTTTCCTCACTCCGGGTTTTTCATAGAGAGCGTGAACGAGCTGTCATTTAGAATTTTATTACCTTTGAATTTTGCAATATGAAGGAGAGAATTCCACAAACAAATGAACCGACCAACCTTCTTACAAGCCTCTAGGAGGTGATGAAGCTCCAACGCACTAAGCTGTACTTCAGCACTTGTATTATCTAAGGTAAAAAATAAAGCTTGTGATTAGAAAGCCATGATGGCTGACTGTGACGTTTTTCAAGAGAGATGACACTGTTAGAAAAGGCGCTGTTTCGGTATCTGTCAAAAGATAACGAAAACGTTGAAACGATGAAAGCTAGACAATTTATTTCAAATATGCAAATCGATTTTAAAATGCTTTGAAACATGTCAATATTGACGCGTTAATCAAATTTAGGCATTGTTCGAGTCGTCCTTTATTAATAGAAAGAAGCGATAATGGTTCTGATATCAATTCAATAGCTTTTTTTTTTACCTTGAATTTGTTCCAAAAGAGGAATGATGGCTTCCTTCCATTCTGCTCTTTCGACATCAGTTTTACAGAGTAATGTGTATGTCTGTGAAGTTAAAAAAAGTTTGTCCATAATTGCCGAAAACTTTTAATTTTTTCTCTGTAAAAGTAATGTATTTTGTGTGCAAAAAAACTACTATTAAAATCGAAATCGGGAAACTACGTGACTGATTAAAAAATTGATTCCGTTCTTAAATGTGCAATGTTTTCGCTATTGTATATAAACTTTCCAGGGGTTGCAAAAACAACGATCCTAGAAAAAAAGTTGACACAAAAACTGTTAACGATTCATAATTCCTACAAAATGCCAAAATTGGAAGAAAAATTAAAAAAAGAGATAAGGTTCAATACACAGCCAATTTTGAAGTCTTTTCTTTCTTTTGTCATCCGAAGCTGTTGCTTGAACGTCACGGTGTTACTAAGCTTGTCGTTACCGCTAAACAAGTCATGTCACAGTTCCCAGATCCTTCTCCTCCCTTTTAAGAATGCATGCGAACAATACCAAAAAGAACCAGGATATTTAAAAGTAACCTAGTTCTTTTTGTTATCTTCCTTGTGCATTACAAGAAAATTGAAATGTCAGAGCACGTTTATAGTTAGTTGGTCTATTATAAGCATATACAACTAACCTTGCCCTGTTTGTGGTAGAGTGTAACCGGGAGACTGGGAATGGCTAACAAAAGAGCTGCTTCCTGTTCAGCTAGCCGCCTTTTCAGTTTCTCGACAATTTTGGAGGCTGATTGTGCTCGACGTCGCTGCAAAGGAAAAAAACAGTAAAAATGAGAGAGAGTAAGCAAAGGAAAGAACAGTCAATTCACCTCCCCAAAACCTAATAACAAACCAAGTTTCAAAAATCGATGCAACTCGCTCGAACAACACCTTTCTTTTCACAATAGCGCTCGTTGAAAGCATGCTCTTCCTTTGCCACTTTAATCAGAAAGCCTTTGAATTCACCAAGCCAGAGGGAAATTTCAATTTCTTATACCTTCATTGAAGGTGAGGAATCAGGACTGTTGAGTCCGCTCACTCCTTCTTCTCGTCGGATTTCTGCTTTGGTGCTTGCAATCCTGCTTTTCAGTAAATCAAAGTCACCTTTGCTTGTCACTGGTATAACTTGTGGCGCTAAAAAAATAAATAAACAAATAAGTAAAAAAAAGGAGAGACTTTCACATGTTAGTAATAACTGATACGGTCGAAGTTCGTTCGTTAAGAAGCCTTCATGTAATTTGCTTGTTTAATACAAACTTGAATTTATTAGTTAGAATGGTTTTTATTTCCCTCCTCCCTTTTACTTACCACCGCGCATTTTCTAGTTTTCCTGGTTTGAAAGTTTTGGTAGAATACATATCAAAGCTCATCTCTCATATTTGAAATTGCAATGAAAATGTTTCAAATCAAACCTACACACTCCGTCAAAGCAAGTTATAGCTTTCAAGAGGTAACCGTGCTCAGTCGGACTACCCTGCGTGGGAGGAGCACGTTTTGACTGAATTAGCATCGAACGCATGAGCAGGAAGTCGCGCACTAAGGCCTGTAAATTGCGTTCTAGCCTAACACTAACTGTACAAGCTATGCATACACAAACCTTCTGAGTTCTCTGTGGGCTGGAACTGTAAATCGTGCAGGGAGAGATACCATTTACACACGTATTGCTCGCTCCTGTAAACATTTAGAAGAGACACCTCATTAAAAAAACATTCAAGTATGAGGCGATGAATGGGTGTATGGCTCAAGAAAAGAGCTAAAATGTTTTTCAGGTCGATGGGAGTTGCCAAAAGTCTAATTGAATTTTTTAGGTTGAAGTAAAGATACGATGGATCTCAGCATTACATCAGTTTATACTAATACAGTGTATTAATAACGACAGGCAACAATAACAGCGAGAAGAGTTTCATGTCAAAGTTATTGAAACCTTAAACATGTGAGGCCTGAATCACTATAACCTACACCAAAATCAATTGCCATAACATACCTAGCTGTTATCTTTCTCTTTGTACATATGATGTAGTCATTGAACAAGAAAAGATGTCTAAATTTGCGAACTCCATCTGAAAAAAAAGATAAAAGTCATTGTTACATTCTCTCACCATTAGGGATTTGAAGTAAAAATGTCATCACACGACATTTATTTTTTATCCCTTTTACTCCTACTATTGCTAACTTGTAACTTCTCCTTAACCTTTCGATACATTCACTAGCAAACAGGTGTAGAGATTATACACAGTGATCAGCTACAGACTGTTATCTTTTTCTCTCTGGTTAGTAAAAAGGGTAAGGAGATTTAAAGAGAAAATACCTGAAAGTTCTACTATAAATCCATCTTTGATTAGTCTATGATCTCGCTTCACTCTTTGCAATCCCTATGGAAGTTCAAAAGTTAAGTTCTGATTAAAATCAAACAGGACAACACCAGTACTTATAACAATGCCAATACCTTTGTACCCTATGACACTTTTCTCACAAATTAAAATGGAAACAATCCCAGGCAAGCCGAGAACACGAGCTTCTCCTGATCCATTGCAAAAGGGATTGAAAAGAAAATAATTAACATGTCTCTTTATCTGGAACAAGGGGTGTAAGTTTCTAAAGAAGCTGTGGTGTTGCGTCGGTGGAAGAGTAAAAACAGGGTAATTTTTCCCAATCGCTCAGACGAAAGGCTAACGCTCGAAACGTCAGCCTTTAAACTCTTTACGGTGGTCAATTTACGTTATCAACTCAGTCGATAATACCAAATTACCCTCTTTATCTGGAACGTTTTCAAGTGCCCTTCATTGAGTTGTTGGTATCTTTACTATTTCTTCACAAACTATGCAAGAAACAGACTCAATAAATTCCCGGATGTTATCGAGCTTCTTGTTCCGAGAAGTGTAGGGGGGAGGAAGAGAGAGAGAGGGGGCAAAAGTTTTCAGTCTACCTACCCCTCCGTCTCTTTCATCACCATTGATCTTTGCTAGGAAGTCTTTGGTTTGGTTCAACACATTTGTTAAAAGTTCAAAATCCGCATGCTCCTCAGGAGTTTCTTTGATCAAGTCCTAAGTAAAAGCATGTTATCATCAGAAACATTAAGCTATACCTCATTTGATAACAATATAGCAAAACCTATATGAAGAAGATCCTGTATTGACCAGTCACCGTGCATTAGAAAGCAGAAAGCCTGAGTAAGTCACAACTAACCTTTAGGACAGCAATATAGCGGCCAACTCGTTCCACTGGTTTGTTGAAAAGAGCTGACGAAAAAAAAAGTAATAATAACAAATTAAAAAGGTCTTTTAGATCTCTTAAATTTTGATCTTAACCACACCTCTAGAGATGACCAGCAAGGATTTTTCCAAAACACTTTTCAGAAACCACGTGAGGAGAATAAGCAAACTCGTTGGCTTAAGTATTCTCTTTGTTAACACACCAAATTCTCTAAGATTATGTACAACGAAATATACAGAATGTGCCACCTACAACAGAAAATTGGGGGCTTCTACAGAACATGCCTATGATGTATTTGCACACTAATTTCAGGTATCTTACTAATAAAACATACCTTGTAATTTTGTCACTTCTTGAATGGATTGAACTCTAAGTTCCTGATTAGCAGAAACATAGAAAAGACAACATCTGTTAATTGTCCTCAATGTCTGAGCTTATCCACTTTCTGCCTTGTGATCAAAAAATGAACTTTACCAATTCTTTCTATACCCTCCCTTGACAGAGAAAAATAATCAATCAATGAAATACCTGCCTTCAGTAAATAACATGAGCCACAATAAAACATACCTTAGAAAAGATGTTGTTGAATTGTTCATTGCTTGCCTTGCATTTACGTACTGTCGACATTGCAGTATTGTAGTTTGATATGTATTCTTTGTACACATCAAACTGATCCACCTGTAAGCAAAGAGAAAACAAAAAGGAAAGAAAAACATAAACAAAACTGTGATGAAGATGGTTCTGTTTGCCAACACCTTGTTACATGGGTAGCAACGGAAATTTTTTTTAACCCACTGACAAAAAATACAATTACTGTTTAATATCTCTTTAATAGATAACCAATGACTAAAAAGTTGAATCCTGAACCACAAATTTAACAATGCAACACAGAGTTTTCAATCAGGAGAAATGAGTTATACATAATGAGAAACAACTCTAACCACTGAAATTCAGCCATTTAATTCTGCATTTTAGTCAGAGAGATGGCTAGATGGCCTCTATTCCAGTGAGGAACTCACATGACTAAGCTGTTGATATTTAATACTACAATCTCTTTTAACACTTTAACTCCCAGATCAAATTTGTAACTCTCCTTACTGTCAACCATACAATTCTTGTGATGTTAGTTCAGAGAATTTAGTATTGGATCAACTCATTATCCCCAAATTGATATTTTTCTTTATTCTCATCACTCATCTGGTTCATATTATATTGATATTGTAAGGAGAAATTCTGTCTTGGTCACTCACGAGAGTTAAAGGATTAATCGAAAGTATGTTTGGTTTAAATGAGTGAACACCAAAGATATATAAACTGATTTTTCTTCGACAGTGAAATAAAACAACTTAGCAGGAAATTGCATAAATTTGAAAAAAAGATACAGCTCTAAAAATTCCATTAAAAAACCGCAACATCATATTTCCTTTTGTGAATAATTTCCCAGACTATTCCACTAAAACTACTGCTTACCAAACTCAAAAATAAATCTCCTATAAGGTGACGGTCGCTCCAGTGTGACACACGTGTCTCAAGTTCATTATAAAATGCACTGTGCATAGTATGCAGTTCATCAAGTTTGTGGAAAATCTTGTTGTAGTCAACTGAGGTCAAGATTGGATGTGATGATTCAATGGAAAACTTTAGAGGCTTCATGTGCTGAAAATAACAATTGGAAGAAAAGAAACATTTAAACACACATGTTATGCATTGACAAAGCACAAATTATTTAAGAACCTAATTTACAGATGGTTCCATTTAAGAGCTATAACTCAGACTTTTACCTATGGGATCTCACAAAGAAAAACTGTGCAAGTTCCCAATGTTGGTTAAGCACCATAATAACATGAACATTGCAAGTAATTTTAAATCTTATACAGCACATAATTGGAGTAACGAACTCTGGCAGTGTTAGTACTGATGCTGCAAATAGTCTGCAGTGTACTGAAGCCTACTTTAATAGATGCTGCAATATACATGTTCAAGAGGGCTAAAATATACAGAATTTTAGAAGTTAAAAAATGTAATTGAATCACTTTCACTCATGATAACTAATTGAGGACTTTCTCCATGTTAACATAGCCTAAACTTGAGACATTCTGCAAACCCCTAACTGTTATCATGAGGCAATGTTAAGTTGTACCCTCATCTAACAAAGCCTATAGACCAATGAGAGCACCCACAGTATTTCAGTCATTTAAATAAAAAACCCTAACAGACAATTTTGTTTTTTTTTTGTCACCAACCACGAAAAAGAAAGATGTAAAAATGCTTACTTTGTATAATAAGTTTAGACATTCCAAATATCCTTTCTCACCATCCAGCACTCCAGCAACAACCCACTTTCTCTTGTGCAGCTTTTCAGCTTTGTCTCCAGCACCAGGATCCTAACAGATGACAAGTTAAATGTTACAATGGTACATTACCACTCTGTAGTGAGGTAATGCTTCCTTTCTTGTTTTTTACCCTGACATGTTGCTTGAGGGTCACAAATTACTATTGCTAAATAAAAAGTCCCTTTTTTATTCCATGGTCTTCATTATATTCAAATTCTTTTGTTTCAGTTTCATGAAAGGACTTGGTGGGGAACATGCATCCACTAAAAAGCAGCAAGACAGAGAACCAATTCCTTGACAAAAGGGGCTGCATTGGAGCTCAAAGCATCAAGAGAACTGCTGATGTCTCTTTAAGTAATTCCCACATGTTGGCTTTTGGATTATTTTCCTACAGATTTTAACCCAGCAGAGACCTTGGTTAATGAACAAAACCATTGAAAAATACAGGACTTAAAATGGTCATCAAGAATAATTTAAACTATACATACCACATGTTTTGCAGGACTTCCACCAGGAGAAGGGACAGGCGAAGATGAAAAATCAACACTATGATCTCCAATAACAACATGGGCCCCTCTCGCTTTGCGCAGTTTCTTGAGTTCTTCGTTTTCTGAACCCTGGC